AAATAAAAAGCTTTGTGAATTTAGTATTTTTTCATGTAACTACATTGTTTAGAGCATAAGGAAAAAATGGTAAAATAACATTTTTGAAAAATTATATTTTATTCATAAGTTATGATATGTCCTCTGTAGAGGACACCAGGACTCAGTTTTTCTAAAAATAAAATGACAAGAGTAGACATGAAAAGGCAAAAACAATGGGAATTTTTTTTTAATCGCCAATCAATTTTTAGGTTTCAGGATTTTTTTATAACTAACTTTGTTTAAGGATGGTTCTCAACTATGTTATAAAATATATAACAAAATGATTTGATATACCATTTTGCTTTATGCAATATGTGTGTAAAAATTCCATAAACTGGTTTTCCCATTAAGCACAATGTTATCTATACACTGTATCTAATTTGCATATTAAAGTGCTGTTGGGACAGCATGTTGAAAAAATAAGTGTAATAATGGGAGTAGTCATTGGCCAGATTTTCATAATAATATCTAATATTTCATAAGAATATTGATACATAATTTGTTTTCCTATTCAATTCTTTTGTCTCCCAAAATGTATAATAAACATGCTTTTAGTCCTGGTGTCCTCTACAGTGGACATGTATGAAATTATGTCCTGTTTCATAACAGAAGGTCATATTTTGATTTGAAACCCCATAACATGGTGAGATGGTGATTTATGACAAACAATTTGAAAATGAATCAGATTTAAATTATAATTACAAAATATTATCATATTTCCATAAGGATGTACAATTGTATCACTAAATTAATGTCAGCCATTTTTAAAAACCAAGGAGAGGGAGTGGTCATGGTGAAACAGCCAATAATTTTGCATCTCTGGAAAGCCCTGAATGTGGTCTGTACAGGACATCCAGACTTAAAACTGTGACATGTGAGGTCTCAGAGAAATTCACTCAAATATAATGTCCACTACAGAGGCAAAAACTCCATAGCTGGGTCTCAGGAGGATATATATATATATATATATCATAGGGGACAGTAACATTCCCCTGATTGAAAAATCACCCCATTAAGTTAATTAGCAAGTACAGTTTGCACCACCTAACTAGTTTGTTAAAAGGTGCTAAGAAGATATTAAATGAGGACAGGCAGACTGCACACTTTATCTTTTCCCCCATGATGCTCGTCTTCATTTGTCACATTCTGTAGTAACGGAATAGTTAAACCAAAATGAACATTTCACCATTTACCCACTCATATTTCTACTAAGAAAAAAGAAACTACCAAGTCTACCAAGAATTTACCAAGAAATAAAGTCACTAAAAATGAATGAAAATGTATGAAAAAGGGCAGCGTGAACATTCTTCAAAATATCTTTTTTGTGTTCTTCCGTAGAAAGAATGGGTTTGTAATGACAGGAGGGTGAGTAAATAATAACTGGGTAATAATTAGGCCTATACACTTGCTATTGCCACTAGAGGGCGTCATCACATTATGTAGCACAATTCATGATCTACTGTGGCAGTTAAAAATGAAGATGTTTCTGCTGGTTGTCAATCTTTCATAGTTCATCAGTCATGATGTAGAGAATGCTCTCTCTCAGTTAACCCATTCATTACCATTCTCTCACCTCTGTGGGCGTCTCTTAAACACTCTGTTTGTTACACAGGTGATTTCTGAGGAAGGGGTCAGCTTTAAGGTCAGTCTTTATCTATCTATTCCTCTATCTCTTCTTCTGTGGCTTTGTGGTCATACTGTGTCTCTGTGCCTTGTGTGCGATTGCCTGATCAGTTTGATTGGCAGCTTCACCAGCCTGTACAGCAGCTGAGTGTGGGATGTAAGCGGGACTATGACAATGTGATTGTGCAATGCTTAGTAGAATGTTTATAGGCTACTGTTTTGTGTCTGGTGCTTCCACTGTTTCCCTCATTCCAGGCATCTTAGTCCAGTCGCCTTTTGGGCCCAACAGTGTACAGTAGTTGTATGCTAAAGCTCTTTGTCACACTTTTATAATTATTTTTAAAGAAAACAGAATGCATTTAACAGAAATGCATATTTTGAGGTCTTTCGTGGAGGTCATCTGCCAAATCGTCTGCTCCCACTGAACTTCCTGGCATCGGTGTGTGCAGTTCCTATGTGTTGAGAGATCATCTTTCTCTTCAGTCACTGTCTTCATCATGGTTGTAATGAACACAGATCACACTTTCTGTCTGTTCAGCCAATCAAATAACCAGAATAACAGGAATCTGAACTAACTTAGAAATTTAGATCTGCTGAATTATAAACTTCCTGATGTGGAATCAAATCAAAACTGAAACATGCACTGATCATATTGAATGCTCTGGTAAGATTAGGATTTAAATAAGGGACAGCCATCTGTGTGTGTCGTTTGCTTGCTTTTGTCACTTTCATTTTCCTTCTCGTCCTATCCGACATGCTCAATCTGGTAAAAAGTCACAGGTGAGGTGTGACTAGTGTCAGTGGTGTGGAACACACCACAAAACTGAGCTTACAGACACTCAACAATGGGCAGACTTTGGACAATGCTGACCATCAGCATGGTGTGTCAAGTAGTTCATGGCCATGTAATTCACCTTCAAAAATGCATCATCAGGTGTCTTTACACAACTGAGTTAAAGGTGGGGTAAGTGATTTCTGGTAGCCGATGTTGACATTTGAAATCACCAAAACAAACATGCCTCTACCCCAAAAGGGCCTCCCCCCTATTTTGATAGCTCCGCCCCACACATACATACGCAACCCAGGCAACGATTAGTTCTGTGAAACAAAGCAAAACCAATGTTACACCGTGTCTACACCGGACGCGAGTGGCGCGGCGCAACAAAATACTATGGAACTCATTATAATCAGTGATGCTGTCTACACCATAGATATATATACATATCTATGGTCTACACTGAATGCGGCGCGGCACGACACGACAAATCCCCACAGAAAACTGCTGCTTTGTTGTGTCCACACTGAAAAAACGAACTTGTAAGATTTACTTAAAATAATTATCGTAACAAATTGCACGAACACATTTTAAGTAAAATTTACTGCTCTAATATCAAGTACAACTTACTCGCTATTATTAAGTAAGATCTACTTACTACTAAACTTAACATTCATGAAGAAATTAAATCTAATTGCACCCTAATTAAGTAAATATTACTTAATTATATTTAATTTAAAAGTTGTGTTTATTTAAAGTAATTAAGTAAAGTTTATTTATTATTTTATAGACCGGAACCTTGCATTTATCAAAATATTAAGTAAATCCTACCATTTACTGAAGTAAATATGTCATTTTATTATATATGTTTTGTTTGAGATGTCCCATTTACTTATAATAATATATTTTACTCCCTATGATTATGTAAACATTGCTAATTTCTTTTTGATTAATATAACCACATAAACTGTATTCATTTTGTCTATACCAGGGGTTCTCAACTCTGGCCCTCGAGGTCCACTTTCCTGCAGAGTTTAGCTCTAACCCTAATCAAACACACCTAAACAAGCTCATCAAGGTCTTCAAGATTACTAGAAAGTTACAGGTTGCTAAACTCTGCAGGGACATAGACCTCGAGCGCCAGAGTTGAGAACCTCTGGTCTATACCTTTATCACAAATCACACAACTATAATACAATTAAACTCTTTATTTTTCCAACATTAATAAAAGTGAATCTGTCACATTCACATGACCTACTAAAGTCTGGACACAAGTTTTTAAAGGTGCAGTAAAGCCTCATAAAAAAAGTGCCAATAATCAACAAAATATGTATACCTCCACTGGTGATATTTGGGCTATTGAAAATAGAAAAAAATAAAGTATGACTGAATGCTACTTCAAGTGTCTGCTGTTCTGTAATACAATTCAATCTCCATTACCAACATGCACTGCATTTGCTGCACCATACACAGTTTCGACCCCCGGAGGTATAAAATATAGAAAAAAAATACTTAAACAGAACAAGATGAGGTATTAACCTGACAGAGCTAGGTAGTATTGATATAACCAAAACTGCATCTAACATGAAAACTATCAGTCTGTCTTCCTCCCTCGTCGTCAGAGTTGGGTCACCCTGTAAATAAACCGACACAATTTGTGATATTAAAACAATGATCTAAAACATTTAACCACAATTATATATTATGCAGTGAAGAATAGGTAAAAATAACAATAATGTTATATCATGCAAATCTATGCATAGATTTATACTTGCCTGAATATGAGAATTAGACCAATCACACCTTCTGTATGATTTTTTTAACTTTCATAAATTTTACAGGGCTTTCTAAACATGCAGCTCTCTTGTGCGAGATGCGAGTGCAGCGATGATAGATGTCCCTCTAGAAAATGCGCAAAATATGCATTCTGTGTGAATGGCTTGGTTTCAGTTTTGACGTAAACTAGATCTTCTCCGCATTGATGTTCTCTTTTTCTGCAATGTTTTGAATGAACAGTGCAGCAGCGCCACATCTAATGGGTGCAACTGGATGGGCTAACAAAAACATTAAAATGCAACCGCATCTCGTGCTCCACTAATAAGACTGCTTTAACACACCTAAAATTCGAATGCAACATTTTTGCATTCGAATGCAGATTTTTATAAATTCCATGAATAGTCAAAATTCACATTTTATAGACACCATATTTAATTTTGTGCAAATAAAAATAAAGCTGTGAGGGATAGACGTTCAGGCTGCTCAGTGGGTTGCAGTGATTTTTAACTTTGTTGTCCATCGTTCAGATGACGCAACATTGAAAATATTAATTTATTAAAAAACTCCTGAAAAATGTGTTGTGAAAATGGCTACAACCGTCAGACAACACAACATATTGAACATATTCAATGTCTGTCCCTCACTGTTTTGTTTAATTTGTGAAATTTATAATATGCCGTTTTCCCTGCCTTAACTCTATGGTCCGGTACTGTCCAGTCCTTGTTTGTCATCTTGGGTCTAAATATGCTAGTGTCTCAGATGAGTCATTGAATGAACGCACTAATGTGTGTGTGTGTGTGTTCAGATCGTGGGGAACGGCAGTGAGCAGCAGTTACAGCAGGAGCTGGAAGATGTTCTAATGGACCCTTCAGTAACTGAATTGGTGGGTGGACCGGACCATCTGGGAGGGGCCAAGCATGGCTATCCCACTACAGCTGTGCCACCACGGTCCGGCCCAATACCCCCTAAACTTGAGATGGTGCTGCCCATTCAAGGAGCTCAGGAGAGTGAACTCAACGAGAGATCTTACAGGGGTAAAAAAATACAAATAAATCACCGTTTCTTATATATATTCCTATATACACTGTATAGGGGTACACACGGGTAAAAGAAAAAATCACTGTTTATTTTATATATATATATATATATGTGTATATATATATATATATATATATATATATATATATATATATATATATATATATAGTATATTAGTATATATATCAAAATATCGGAAATGTGTTTAAAAATCATATCACCGTTATTGAAAAAAATTACATCGCGATACATATTGATATTGAATTATTGTCCAGCCCTAACATATACATGTACATATATATAAATACATTCAATATATTTATATATATATTATTTCATTTCCATTTAGTATGCTGAAGTACTGAAATAACTCAAAATATATAAAAGTAAAACTTAATAAAAAGCCTATATAGACATAATAAAAAACGAATGAAATGACAACATTACTACAACTGTAACTAAAACTAAAATAGAGAACTAATACAAATCAAAGTACATTAGTTCATCAGTAATCCTAAAAAAATAACACTGAGCCAAACACACATGCTAAAATAACAACAACTTACTGACACATAGTAAGAAACAGATTATAAAAAACTGAAACAGAAGTGGAAAGAGGAGAGTTAAAAAGCGATACTTATGTCCTTTGCCGGTGTCCTGCCCGGTGGAGTCGATGGTCTTTACACTCTTCGGTCTTCACACAACCGCAGCCGCAACCGCTTCCGCGGTAAACTAAGTTTCTTTTTAATTCGTTTAACAAAACTCTAATTGAATTCAGCTTGAACACACTTTCCTGTTTATCCCAACAAATAACCAAGCAAAGCGCACGACACTGACAAGGTACGCGATAGAGTACCAGACCAAACACCATTTCAGCATGTCACGTCAAATTTTATTATTAATATTTTATCTATTTACATTATTTTATTATTGTTTTCTGGACCTTTTTGTGTTCAGACAATTAAGAAAAAAATTTAATTGAGGTTAAAACTTTGTCTTGGGTTTGCATTAAGAGAAAAGTGTGTAGAAATAGTATAATACATATGCAGACAGTGCCATCTGCTGGTCATTTGTTATCAAGACTCATACCTACCTGTTAAATTCTAGTCATGAAAATTCATACAGAGGCACTATTTATTTTGGTGTAGAATTGTTTCAAGCATTTAAGTAGAAGCATTCAGATCAAAAGTCCCACCCCC